CTCCGACTGGCTTATTTCGCTTAGCACAATGCTATCCAGTTCCATCCATATTGTTGCAAGTGGTAAAAGTTCCTTCTTTTTTATAGCGGCATAGTATTCCACTGTGTAGCTGTACCACAGTTTTTTAATCCACTCATCTGCTGATGCTGCCCATTATTTTTAAAAACATCTTTTCTGTCCCCTTTCTTCTGGACCTCAAATTACATGTATATTAGATCTTTTGATTTTGTATTACCCATCCCTAAGACTCTATTATTTTGTTTACTTTTTCCAAGAATTTTCTCTCTACTTTTCAGATTGGTTAACTTCTATTGGTCTGTCTTACATTCATTAACTCTTTCTTTTGTTATGCTATCTACATTCTGTTGGTAAGTCCATCCGGGGAATTGTTTAAGTTTCAGATTGCAGTTTTCAGTTCTAGACTTTTCAGTTAGTTAAGTTCCCATTCCTCAGTTGAACTATCTTATTATTTATTATGAACATAGTTGTCCTTATGTTCTTGAGCATATTTATACACAACTAGTTTAAAGTCTAATTCTGGCATTTGGATCACCTCAGGGTCAGTCTCTGCTTTTACTCTTGAATCTCTTCTCTTTCTCTTGATACCTTTCTCTCTCTATGTTATTTTGGATTGTATTTTGGTTGTTGTAAATCATGTATTGTAGAAATTTTTTATTCTATTTAGTTCCCTTAAAGATTGCTGCTTTTTTGTTTTGTTTTGTTTTGTTTTGTAAGCATTTGACTTGTGGCTGGACTCAAAGTGGAAACTATCTTTGTAGTGTGTGATAGCTCAGATTTTAGTTCATTTAAGTGGTTAAGCAGATATTTGGGCAGAGTTCTTATGCAGAATTTATGCACTCCTCTCCATCTGGATTCCCCCTTGACTTTCCAGTGGTCGTTATGATTGCAAAACACTCCTTTGATTTTTTAAGTCAATAAGAGTGAAGGTTTTAAAAATTGGAATTTTAGTTACCTTGCATGACTGACTGGGCCTATTTACAAACTAAAAGCTGTAAAAATAGTAAACACATCCCGTGTCATCCCTTCTTGCATTAACTCTCTTCCAGTAGATGCATAACTTAGGTTGCTCTTCAGTATCTTCAGATCATGGTTTTTTATATTTTGTTCAGAGCTTATAGTTGTTATCTGTATGACTTTTGGCCTAATAAAAGCAATTTATTCATACAGGAATTTAATTTCCTTTAATTTTGGAGTTAATTTTATATGTGGTGTGAAGTATGGGTCAAAGTTTTTTTCTTCAATACTGATAACCATTTATTCCAGCACATTTTTTAAAAAGACTCTTTTCCCCATTAAATCACATTGGCATCTTTGTAAAAAAGCAATCATCAATATATGTGCAGACTTGTTTTTGGACTCTCTATTACATTCCATTGATTTATCTAACTGTATTTACATCAGTACCACATTGTCTGAATTATTGTAGCTTTATAGGAAATCTTAACATTGCACAGTATAAATACTCCATACTACTTCTTGCTTTGGCTATTCTATGTCCTTTGCATAATCATATAAACTTTAACATCTCCTTGTCAGTTTTTACCCACTAACAGATAAATATGCATTCTTTTCCAGGGACATGTAACACATTCTCCTAGATAGACCATGTGTTGAAATCATACAGAATATATTTCCTGACCACTATGAAATTAAATTAGAAATGAGCAATAAAAAGGCATCAGAAGAAAATGGCCACATTTTTTTAAAGTAAATGAAAGCAACAGTAGAGGGAACTATGTAAAGTTTTTTAAAAGTATATACATGCTTCTTTGTAAAAGTTATAAAATTCCCTATTAAAATGAGCAACAAAATAGGATCAAGGTCAAATTTTGTACAAAAGTAATCTTTTTATATATATATAT